CTATATAATTTAATTGCTTTGCTTTATTTATTCTAAGGAAAAGAGTCATAGGTCTAGTGCATTCTAGAGAAGAAGAAAGGATGGACCAGAGCATATTTAGTATTCAATACACTGAAAAATACTATATATCTTAACAAGAAATGGCTAAATAGATACCCAGTTACTTGTAATTGTACTGTGCTCTGTGATAACTTTCTTATCATGAAATATTCTGCTTTGGAAATCTCAAATTGCATTCACATAATTGTTATATCTGTTTGAGACATCAAATTATATGCATTGCTCACTTTCATATTTTAAATTTTGCTTTTATTTATAAAAATATAACCTGTGAATTCATTAAAATGGAAGGGTTTTTTTAAGCCAAGCACTGACATTTGTATGGGTTAAATCCAGAGTTTGGTTTCACAAATGGGGAAAAAGTTGTGAGCAAATTTCACTAAGCCCCCCCCCCCCAAAATGGGTAATCTCATCTATCACAATATGTAGCCCTATCTCTCATACTTCACAAAGATCTCTCAACACTTCCTTGTCCCCCATAGCAGATTGATGGGGGCTTTTGATGCAGCAGAGAGGAGGAATCTGTAAAAATCATTTCCCCTCTTCTCCCAGCAGTCAGAGGGAGTCCTTCCATTTATGAAAAGCAAGATCTAAATCCAAAACCATGTTAATAAATAGGTGGCATTGACATAAAAACTGAACCTTTCACTCTGGTTACCTGTGCTGTCTCTGCAGATAGCAACAGGTGTGACAAGCAGCGAGCCTATAAAGTTGGTCCAGGTACCGCAGACCACTACCTATATACCAACTACTCAACCCACAATTGTAAGTACTGCTTTTGGCATTGAAACAGCTCGTTTATTTTGGAGGGAGGATGGGCTTTCTCCTGTGTTACCACAATATGAATTCACTGGTCTTAACTCAATTTGCTGTGCAAAATGCTTTATTTTGCTATACATTTCCATTTCTTTTACACCATACATTGTCATGCAGGACAATCAAAGATTCAAGTTTTATTTATTGATTTAAAATTCTATATTGCTATCATGGTTTCTGAAGCAGTTTAGGAAAAGCTATGCTATTCTTCAGCTGCTGTGTTTTGTGTAAAAATGATTGCACATTCAAACCATTCTTCCTTTGTAAAAAAACCCACTTTTTTATTTCAAAATTGCATTAACCTTAGGAATTGTCTTGTGCTCTAATTAATTGCTTGGTTAAGAAGTGTTAGGGGCCAGTAATGGGCAATGGACTTGGTGGTAAGGGTTTTGTCAAGAGGACTAGTATTTTGATGGTGGTAGGGAATAAGAAGGTAGAAGTTGAAAATCAATGTTATTAGATAGAAAGTGAAATTAGCAATTAGTCTCATTTGCTAGCTAACCTGGCAACTTAGTTGTCACATGACTGGAGCGTGTGCACACACATGTGCCTGCCACTCACACACACACACATCCCTAGGCTGGGCCACCAAGCTGGAAAGGTTGGGGACTTCTGAGTTAGACGGAGAGGAAATGTGGTTGTGTAGAACCACCACCTCATAGCTAATTCACTGATTTGTTTATATACTTTCTCAATCACTTAAGCAAGTCTAAGTGGCTTATATAATTCTAGGTCAGCGGTTCTCAACCTATGGGTCGTGACCTCATTTGGGGTCGATCGACCATTTCACGGGGGTCGTCAAGCAAGGCTGTCCGCCATTTTTTTCCCCCCTTTTCTGGCGGGTGCCTTACCTCCCTTGAGCTGGGCCAGCTGGTGGTTGGCCTGCTCCGTCTCTGCCGCTTGCCAGCTACGCCTCGGCCGGCGCAGGGGGCGGAACCACGCATTCACGGCGCTCCCGGGCAGGGAAAGTCCTCGACTTACGACCGGTTGGGTAGTCCTCGACTTACGACCGGTTTAGTCCTCGACTTACGACCGGTTGGGGGTCGCGGCATTAAAAAGGTTGAGAACCACTGTTCTAGGTGCTAGGAGACCTCCACATCAATTTCAGCCTGGGCTATCTGGTATGACTCAGGAATTCACAGCAGCTATGACATTTATGACTTTGGATCTTAGGGGCAAAGTAGAATGCTGGTCACACTCAGTTGGTCTTTTATTCAGCTGAAAGAATGGTTCATGGGTGAATTCCCATATCATGCCCCATTGTCATGAATGAACTTGCAGTCACTGTCCATCTGTGTAGAGGTGGAGGACAAAGTCAGCTTGCATTTCCAAACAATTTTTTGGATCTACTGGTTTTTCCAAGGAGTCATAACAGTGTTTTAAAATAGGATTCTGCAAACAATTCAGATAATGCCTGACTGGGTTCTAGAAATGGGAATTTACTAGAGTGGTAAACAAAACTGCATGAGTACCATCTTCCCTTTTTAAAGTCCCCTCATAATATGTAGCTCATGGAAGAGCATGGTGGAATGAAGGAGAAAGTAAGATGGCTAGAACACTAATGATAGACAATTCGTTATAACACCAGTAAGGCACAACATAGAGGTCATTTGAGAGTCTGTGCTCTGGCAGTTTATTCAGAAGAAAGTGATACTTCGTTGCATACATCGTATCTAAATATTCTTGTATAGTTGTTTAAAGTTGTGGGACAATTAACATTAATTAATGAATGTTAATTAACACCAATTAATTAACCCTCAGTCTCTGAATTTGGAATTGGAACTTTCCATGGCTTTCTGTGATACATTGGGTGTCAGTTAATTTCTAGGTATAGTACAAAGTATTACATATTATTTGAACGCCTTATATGGATTGGTCCTAGGTCACATTACGGAATGCTTCCTCCTACAAGAGTCCCACCATCCACTAAGATCATCTGTGCTTCCCACTAACCACTAAAATTGTGCATTGAAATTTTACCATTGATTAATTTCATAAATATTCTGAATACTTTAAATTGCTAATAGTTTTTTTGTATATCCAAGAAATTTGGTCAATCAGTGGTTTAAAAAGTAGATAGATGGAGACATCAACAGACAGACATAATAGAATATTTGGAAATGTCCTTATTGACACGGGCTAGGCCAAGGTTACAATTTGGTTTGTGTTCCATCTAGTATTCAGGTAGTGTTGGAAAGTGTCAGAGTTGTATGATGTAGGCTGTTTTGCATTTTGATGACATTGATGGTAAGGACAAAACAGGTGTTTTAAGACTCAGAAACCCCCAGACCTCCGGAAATAAAAAATATTTTAGCTCTATCAGAGAACAAATATGCTATCAGATTCTACATTCATCCAAGAGGTTGCCTATCATTGAATTATGTCTTTGTTCCATAATAAGCATGAACTGCATTTAATTTTTTAGCCGGTGCTTCTCTATTCCCAAAATCTTTTCATGCTCAATAAAGGAATCCAGAGAAATAATGAAATCTTTCAGGAACTATGGGAGTGGGTGATGGCTGACGATTGGAAATATCCTGTACTAAGAACTTGAAATTTGACCTGCTTTATGCTATGATTGGAAAATGATAATATGCAGCATTCTTCAACTAAAGTCTGTGTTTGTTCTATAGGTAGACCTAATTTACCAACCACAATTGCAACTGACAATTCTATTACTAAACAGCACTGTCATTGTGTAATGTCCTATGACCATGCCAACATATGGTCATTAAGTGCAATATCATATGATCATAACTTGCAGTTTCCTGGCGGTTCCTCCATTGACTTTGCTTGTCAGAAGCTAACTGTGAAAGTTGTAACAGTGACTATTCAAACTTAACAATGTGCTGAACAAGTGGTAGTTATGACCGGTCTTTGGAGTTGTGGCCATTGCAGCATCCCCTCAGTCACATGGTCATGATCCAGGCACCCAGCTCACAGTTATGACATCACAATGAACTATGGTCAATCTGCTTGCTTCCTACAAGCAAAGTCAAAAAGGAAGTCACTAGAAAGTCAGGTTGCAGTCCTTGCTTAATGACCTGTGTGGTCTCACTTAATGTCAGCAATTGTGATTGCAGGAAAAGTGATACAGTCATGTGCTGTCATGCTTTACGACTGCATCTCTGAGCGACAGTAATTCCAGTTCCCATTGCTGTCATAATCCGAAGACTGACTATGTCCATATAAGGAAAGTTTTTGCTGACGTACCAGGGAAGCAGTGTGACAGCTTCCACCTTTTGCTATCCTTTAGTGACCAAAGATTCTCTATGGAAGGAACAGGAGTGCAGGTGTGATTATAGACAAGAACTGTACTTTCTTGTAAATAAAATAATTTGATAGAGAGACCTTGGCTGATATCAACATGTATCTCACTGGTAGCTCCAAATGTACAGCATATAATTTACTCTTATGTATGTCATCATAATGTTGATATTCATATGCTCCATGGCCTGCCCAAATTCATGAATTCTTTTTCTGTACATACTAAAAATATTTTATTTTATTAGTTGATTTTAGTTGTATACTCCTAGAATTATTTAATGCACATTGAGTTTGCTAATAAATTTACCAGGTGGGCGCATCTCCATTGTACTTCTCAGAATAAAGAAAAGAATTTTATTTATAATATATATAAGGAAACTCTATTCTTCTAATTCAGTTCTACCAGCAGCAAGAATAGAGAACAGCAAAGATATGTAAATATTTCAGATTCAGACTTTAAAATGGGCTGATCCACATTTAGTTAAAATGAAACATTTTTATTATAGTCAGAACAGTCCAACAGTTTCAACTTCAAAACTTCAAGCTAGAAAAGTTTTGGTTTTTAAATATTTTACACTCTTCTAAAACACATCTTTGTCTGAGAGGTGCTGAAGAATAAAAAATAGTTCTAATAGTGTGTGTATGTGTGCATGTGTACATATATGCGCACACACACATATACAGTGCATTCAGAAAGTATTCAGAACCCCCCCCCCCTTCACTTTTGTCAATTTTGTTATGCTGCAGCCTGATTCTACAGTTGAAATTCATTTTTTCATTAATCTACACTCAGTACCCGTTAAGGACAAAGTGAAAGCAGAATTTTAGAAATGTCTGTAAATTAAAAAGAAAAAAACTTGAAATATCACATTGGCATAAATATTCAGACCTTTCACTCAGAACTTTGTTGAAGCACCTTTGGTAGCAATTATAGCCTAGAGTCTTTTTTGGGTATGACGCAACAAGCTTTGTACCCCTGGATTGAGGGATTTTCTGCCATTGTTCCTTGAAAATCTTCTCAAGCTCAGGCAGGTTGGATGGTGACCATTGGAGGACAACCATTTTCAGGTCCCTCCAGAGATATTCAATAGGGTTCAAATCAGGGCTCTGGCTGGGCCACTCTAGGGTATTCACAGAGTTGTTTCTAAGCCACTCCTGTGTTGTGTTGGCTGTGTACTTAGGATCTTTGTCATGTTGGAAAGTGAACCTTCAGCCCCATCTGAGGTCCTGAACGCTGCGGAACAGGTTTTCATTGAGGATATCCCTGTATTGTGTTCCATTAAGGTTTTCCTCAACCCTGACCGGTCTTCCAGTCCCTGCTGCTGAAAAACACCCCTTACAGCAGTGGTTCTCAACCTTTTTAATGCTGCGACCCCCAACCGGTCGTAAGTCGAGGACTAAACCGGTCGTAAGTCGAGGA